CTGGGGCCAGCCCTGGCCAACCCCGCCTCTCCTGCTAGCCTCAGCTCTCCTGGGCGACTGGTGATGGGTCTACACCCCTCCCTGCATGGGTGACTTCGCTCTCTGGGAAAGTCTTGACAGTGCCTTTGTTCCCCAGAAATAAAAGAAAATCGAGCTACAAAGGGAAACCTCAGGTAGCTTTTAACGGAGCTCAGCCGCCTGGGGCAGAGTGTGTTTAAGCTGGAGGCAGTTGTCACAGGAGCAGAAGGGGGAGCCGCCCGCAGTCCACTCCCACCCCCCTCGCCCCCTTGATTGAGTTTACACAAGGAAAAGCCTCTTCCAAATAGCAGCAAAGGAGAAAAATCAATGAGAATAGAGTAAAGCGGGTGTGTGTGTGTGTGTGTGTGTGTGTGTGTGTGTGTGTTAGGCACAGCAGAAGTATGCTGCCTGGACCCAGGCTGACCTGATCTGGGGCTGGGAGTCACTCCCCGGCACGTGCCCGTGCCCGTAGAGGGGTGCTGGTGGCTGGGGGAGGGGCAGCAGCCGAGTCTCTCACTCGAGTTAAGAGAGAGATTAATATATTCAATCCACTCGGGGTAATTGAGGGAACAATTGGAGTGTTTTTCTAAAGCCCGTAAAACTGCCTCATTTGCAAGGAGGAGCTGACCTGCTCACATCCTCCGTATGTGATGGAGCACAGGAAGGGAGGGGGAAGGGTAACATTGGGGCCCCAATACTGAGGGACTGGAGCATTAGCTTGGGAGGGGGTTAGCAGTCCTGATCTAACCTATTCTCACCTTTCCCACCTTGTTAGTAGCAGTCCAAGCCTCTGTTTCCCCACCTGTGAAATGGGCTGTGGGCATCCCCCTCCACCATGATATTGGATACAGGAGGGAAGCCGACACTGACCCTGAAGGTCTGGCACTGAGGTGTAGGGGCGTGAGCAAAGAAGTACCCAGCTCCCCCGCCAGGCCAGCTCCCTACCCCCACCCCCACCCCCGATGAACCGGGCAGGAATGTTAATGAAATCCAACAGTGTGTGCGCCTTTCCCCACTACAACTGTTCCCATCTCCAGGGCAACAGAAATAGTATATACAATAGTGCGCAATAAAAGGCAGAATGAATTGAAAAGCAGAGCAGGAAGGGGAAGACAGTGAGGGCCTGGAGTGTTCTGGCCCGAAAGCAGAAAGACACCTGGGGATGGAAGTGTGCGGGTCTGGAGATCTAGCCAGAACTGGGACCCGAAAAGGATGGAGAGAATCAGAGAGGGGGGTGGGGGAGAGGAGGAAGGAAGGAACAAAGGGACACAGACGCAGAGACAGAGTTTCGGGGACCGCAGGCAGCAGGGACGCCAGGAGAGCCACTTACTGCTCGTTCCCCTCCACTCCTTTTTATGAAGCCCCCCCCCAGCCTGTTGGTGCCAAAGCCACAATCAGAATCCACAGGATTAGAGCCAGGTGCTCAGCATTTGGTGATTGCTTTATTAGCTTTTTCTTCTCTTTTTTTTCCCCTCCAGGGCAAAAAAAAAATGTTTAAAATGGAAAGAATTAAAAAAAAAAAAAAGACCCTTGAAAGCATCATTTAAAAGGCTCCTCGGGAACAGAATCATTTCCTTGAAACAAAACTGCGATTGTTTGCAAGAGGTAAATGCGGGGGAGGGAGCCCACCTCGCCCCCCTATCCCTCCCCTTCCCCTCCCCCTCC